AGTGAAAGAAGAAATCAGGGGCAATTGTTGAAAGAAAATGTATAAGCAGAGCTCCTAGGGGCCAAAAGCCCAGTGGAGAGAAAAAGAATAAATCAATGGGGGCTGGAAAATTACTACTAGCTTACTATTCAACTCCATACAAATGTTAAATGAGAGATAGTAATGGAAGTCAGTCTAGAAAGGAAGCTAAACCTAATTCATAATTCCACTAAGCTTTTAAATTTCTTAGAATGATAGGATCTCAAGGCCACAGTATAACCTTGCTGTAAGAATGAGAGCATTAGACAAAAACAATACAATATATGGATGTCTATACACCAGGGGCCTTAAAAGCCAATGAAAGACTTTCTTTTAAAAATAGTATCCATGAGAGGAATTGCAGGGAGGGAGCAGGAGAGCCTCTTCAGAGGAGCCTTCAGAGTATCTTCCTGAATAAACTCTTCAGACAAACTTCTCCAGAAAAAGGAAAATATGACTGTTTTAAGCCTTTTATAGATTGTAGTTATAAATTTTATATTGCCAGGAGCCATGCAAAAATAACCTTAGACCTGTAAGCTACTTGTGCTGCTTCAGAGAAGATTGCTAGCATTTTAAGAGTAACCCATTATGTTAAAAGAATGGCTACCTTCAGTCCCAATCAATCCTTCTGTCCCCAACTTCCTGATAAATAGCATCTGGGCTCACAGAACTAGCTAACAGAAAAGAAAGAAACATTTCACTGTCAGGTTACCTAGCAACCCTCCCTCCTGCACACTCTCTAACCCAACTAGCTTTCTGCCTTATCTAACACCTGCACTCTCTGACCTTGCCAGCATCCTGCACTCTCCTTTTGCCTTCAAGGACTCACGCACAGGGACATTCTGCAGTTTGGTTATCAGGCAAATGGCCTCTCCCTCCTTGCCAAGCTTCCCGCCCAACCCCTATATAAGGTCTCTATGGAAAATAAAAATTTGCAGCTTGATCAGAAAACCTGTCTTGCTGTCTTCTTTGTGTCTTTTGACCCTTTCATTCCAGGTTCTCTAGTGCTATGGCACATGCGGGTGTGAGCTATTGTGGTGCCCTGTTGGCTGAGGCATTATATCACATGATTTAATTCAACATATCTTCATATAAAATGAGTTAGCTGTGTAGACCTATGGCACAACTAACATACAATAAAGCATTATATGTTTGGAAACTGGTAATTCTTAAATTCTTAAATTTTGTGTTCTTTTAACATCACTGTTCTATGTAGTGTTTTATTTATACCTAATAGGATTGGAGATACAGGCTTTGAGTACTAGTTGTCTACATTTTAGCACTGTTATACGGTAATTTCAGGTTATGGGTAGGTTAGGGTTAGAGGAACACAGAGTAATTCAAGGACATTACAAACAAAGTCCACAGTGACCTTGAGACTGATAACCACAGCACCATGTGTAGAAGGAGGTGGGTTCTCAGGATCTGAATATATCCTTCCCCAAAGATCCTGGCTCCAGACCCCACAGCACCATGTGTAGAAAGAGGTGCGTTCTCAGGATCTGAATACAACCCTGCCCAAAGATCATGGCTCCAGACTTTTCCAGCTCTATCAAGCAAGTTCCTGGTTTTAGAGAAGGATCTCTGTTTTTTTTCCAATGTATAAGGGCCTTAGAGAAAATTTTCAAGCCCTATGCACATTGCATAGGGGCCTAGGTTCAAGTGTCTTCTAAAAAGTCTGCATTTTGAATTTAACATTTTTTAGACATAAGACTCATTTGGAGTTAACTTTGTGGAGTTTGTAAGTGGCATCTCATATACTGGGTACTAATTCACTACTAAGCTGTGATGTAGAAGAGTAGACTGGTAACATAAATGATTTACCAATGATTAGGCCATAGTCACACAAAGCAGAGTTTAGTTAAGGGAGGGCTGTCTCTAAAATAACTCAAAGATATGTAGTATGTTAACCAGGGCTGTTGGAGATTATGATGTAAATATCCATCCACTTTTTATGGATACTGTTACTGGTCACAATAACAGAGAGGGAGGATGAGATGAGAAGCAGAAGAGGAAGAGAGAGAGAGCACAGAGCAGGGAGGAGGTAATAGAGAGTAAAGAGAAAAGAATCTAAGAGAGGAAAAAGAACGTAAGTGGGCAGAGGTTCTGACTTTTAAAGGGGTCCTTTACGCCTCATGCAGACTTAGTTCCCATGGAACCCTGGACTAACCAGGGTACTTCCTGAGTGGATACTGCCAGGTAAAGGTCCAGGCCACCATAATGCCTGGACTTTTCACATTGTGTTATGGATATTTGTCATTCATTAGAGGAATTGGTTACAAAATGTTGTTGGTTATGGTCAGGAAGAAAGTCAAACAAAGGGGATTGGACTCATGGCTTTTGCTTTGAAAAAACTGTAGGGGATAGAGATATGATAGGATTAAAAGAGTAGATTACTGAATCAACTCTTATGAAGCAACTACTAGTTTTACATATTTTATATTGATTTGGACTTTTGTATATTGTAGACAAATATTGTATATTGATACTAATTACTATACCTATACATCTCATTTGACAATGTAATAAATTTCTAGTGTTTGAAAGTTATTATTACCAAATATATAAGAGAATAAGCTATAAGTCACTTACAATCAAACTTGTAATCACATTATGTATCATTTCAAAGTCAAACAGATATATTTTAGAAAGAATATAGCATTTAAGATGTTTAAATAACATAAGTAATTTTTTGATGACAATGACCCATATTTGCTTGAGAAAAGATGGAGGATATTCAAGAGACTCACATGGAGTTTATTTTCTTTGTGGCAAAAGTAAGCCACTGGGCAAGAAAGTGCATTTACCTTGACTGATGACAGCATTCTGTCCAAATTGGACAAGCAGGACACAAAAGATAGTGACTGCAAAACCTTTCCAAGACAAGGAGGAACAGCCCTTTAGAAAATCCTGCTTCACAGAAAAGTCTATCAAATATGCTAGGCCTGTAGGTCAAAGAAGGATGCCTCAAAGTTGCAGAAGAACCTTGGGTGACTGTTCAGGCTGCCAGCTGTTTCTGTCATTCCTCACAGGTTTTGGAAGTATCAAAAGTAAATCAAGTACCACACATCAAACTTAAATCAAGACCACATAAACAAAAGAAAGTAAATAGACCTATAACCTCTGAGGAGATATACTCTGAAGATGGATAGTTCCTGTCCTGCCTGGTCCCACAGCCAATTTGTCCCAAATAAACACACCAACTCTATATTAATTATAAAAGAGTTGGCCAATGGCTGGGCTTCTTATTGGCTAGCTCTCTCTTAATTGTTAACCCATTTAAATTAATCCAAATATTTCCACGTGGTCTTGTCTTACTACAGAAGTGTCCAGACCTGTTACTCCTTTCTGCGCTACATGGCATCTCTCCTTGGCTGCTTCTCTCTGTCTCTCCAGCATTCTCCTCCTGTCTTAGAGGAGACCTGCCTTTCTTTCTGCATCTACTGGCCAATCACTCTTTTATTCAATAACCAATAAGAGAACCATATATACAGAAGGACATTACCCATCATGTTCATCCTCTTTTCTGTCTACATAAAAAGAAAGGTTTTAACTTTAACAGTAAAATAACATATAACAAAACAGTTATCAGTTAACAATATGTCGTCCATTAATATTTGACAAAATTTAAAGAAAATATTCTATTGTCTAGCCTATCTTTGTGAGTCTAAAGTTTTCTAAGTGACGTATACTTTATCATAACAAAGGCAAATTATAACTATCTGTCTTCAACTACATCAAAGACCACAGGACAATATAAAAACTCACTGCCTGGACAGTGAGTCACCCAAAGATCCTCTGTAACAATGGAGCATTCATCTCCAGCCCATTTGCCATAGTGTGTCTGGCAGACATGTCATCAAAGCAGAGCTTGCCAGTAGCTCTGGCCATCAGCCAACAATTTAATAATTAATATATCTCTGTGTATTTATTTGAGGACAAATGGCTACTGAAACAGGCTGAAAAGAAATTCCAGCAACAATTAACTTTTTATTAATTAATTAATTTATTTATTTGAGACAGGGCTTCTCTGTATTGTTTTTGGAGCCTGTCCTGGAACTAACTCTGTAGATCAGGCTGGCCTCGAACTCACAGAGATTCATCTGTCTCTGCATCCCGAGTGTTGGGAGCCAAATCTCAGGGCTTGGCATGAGATCCTAGGCCATGCTTGGCAGGCCACATAGTTAACCTTTACATAGCAGCTCCTTAGAACCTCAGCTCAAGAAAAGAAACAACTTAACCTAGTATTCCACCCACAGGCTCAGTCACCTAGGTAACCCCTTCCTGGACCTCTTATTCATGAACTCTTTACCCTGCCAAGCATCTTTGTTGCTTCCTAATATCCTGCCTATACTTACACCTGGTACATAAACAAACCCATTCTAACCATCCCCATATCCTGACTATATAAGCTAGCCTGAGAAAAGTAAAGATTGCCAGTTGATCAGAATCCTGTCTTGTGGTTGTTCTTTCTGCATCTCTTGTCCCAATTCCCTGTCCCTGACTCTCTTGCCCTGGGTTGATGTCCTGCAGGTCGGGACAGGATTAAAGGCTTTCACCACCCAGCTTAACAATTAACTTTGTTAAAATGTTTTGACAAAACAGCAAATGTTGGGATATATCATCTAGCCTAGGACTTATACTCAACAGGCTGATGGATGAGGATTGAGTTCAAAAGCACCTCTAACTAAAAACTGACATGCATGCCAGGCTGGATAAGAAACATCTCATTGGAATTTGTGAAAATATGAAAAACAAAACCAGGAACAGCAACCCACCATACTTTCACAGACATACTTATTTGAAAAGCATGATCACACAATGCCTGAAATTTAAACAAACAAAAAACCACTTAAAAAAATGGCCACCTCACTCTAACATTTTGGCAGAAAAAATATCTATCACAAAGTCAAACACAATAGAAAATTTACAAAAGCCTCAGAAGAAATATAAAGACCACAAAATAAACTTCATAAGATGGATTTGCCAAACATACCTCACTTTAATATCTACCTCAAATGTTGCAAAATAGAAACCACAATGCAGTAATCTCCAACATCAGTCTTCAATGACCATTGTAAATAATTAACATCTTTTATGAAAAAAAAGATATGAATCAATCTTTTTATTGAAACTAAAGAAAAGTTTTCACAAAATTGTTTACATTAATAGGGCTTTGTCTTCCAGGAGTTCTTCCCCATTCCCTGATAACAAAGTGATACCAAAAAAAAAAAAAAAAGATTTAAAATACATACAAAGTTACAGATATGGATGAGAAAAGTTATGACAAGTTCATTGCCAGGACCCAGGTCAGGTTTTTGAGAACTTTCTTTAGTTCCTGTTACAGGAAAACACAAGGGTCTAATCATCTTGAGAACAAGGATGAACATTCACAAACACACACACTGACAAAACATAACTAAAATTGAATGAAATCTGTAACCAAGCAGATTTCCACACATGAATATTTTCTGTTGTAAGCATTCATTCCTGTAACCCAGGTGTTGAATCATGTAAAATGTTAACTGATTTCCTTCATCATAAGTAGGTTCATGTAACAGAAAGCAAGCACATAGGAATCAATGTTAATAAGGGTTTTTATGTAATTAAAGAAAACTGTGAAATCAAAAAGGGTTACCTTATCAATGAATTCCTAGGATTTTTGTCCATATGAGTTTGCAGGTACATGAAAATAGTGACATCAGATAGTGAACAGATTATTGACACTTGACAGATTTTTTTCTCCAGAACCTTGTGTAACTAAATGTGTGTTGGCAGAAATTGTAACAAATCCTTTATAGTAAGATTCAGTATGAATTTTTTTCAGCTCCTCAAAGGGTACTGTGATACACAAAGTGCACACATTTACCACACTGCTTACATTTATACGATTTCTCTCAAGTATAACTTTTTTGATGATTTTAAATACTGATAACACATACAAAGACTATAACACATTGATTACATTCATAGGGTTTCTATACATTATGTGTGCTTTTATGAGTTTGTAGACTACGGGCTTGTGAAAAGGCTTTACCACATTGATTACATACATAGGGTTTCTCTCCAGTATGTGTTCTTTTATGGATGTAGAGACTACTGACTTGTGAAAAGGCTTTACCACATTGATTACATACATAGGGTTTCTCTCCAGTATGTGTTCTATTATGTTTTTGGAGTTTACTGACTTCTGAAAAAGCTTTACCACATTGATTACATTCATAGGGTTTCTCTCCAGTATGTAGTCTTTTATGTGTGTAGAGATTACTGACCTGTGAAAAGGCTTTACCACATTGATTACATACATAGGGTTTCTCTCCGGTATGTGTTCTTTTATGTACTTGAAGCTGACCAGGAGTTGAAAAAGCTTTCCCACATTCATTACATTCATGGTGTTTCTCTCTAGTATTCGTTCTTTTATGTTTTCGGAGACTATTGACATTTGCAAAGGCTTTACCACATTGATTACATTCAAACGGTTTCACTCCAGTATGTGTTGTTTTATGTGTGTTGAGACTACTGACATTTGTAAAGGTTTTCCCACATTGATCACATTCATAGGGTTTCTCTCCAGTATGTGTTCTTTTATGTCTCTTGAAACCGCTGGGGTTTGCAAAGGCCTTACCACATTGATTACATTCATAGGGTTTCTCTCCAGTATGTGTTCTTTTATGACTTACGAGACCACATGGTTTTGAAAAGGCTTTACCACATTGATTGCATTCATAGGGTCTCTCTCCAGTATGTGTTCTTCTATGTTCTTTAAGCTGAATGTGAGTTGAGAAAGCTTTACTACATTGATTACATACATAGGGTTTCTCTCCAGTATGTGTTCTTTTATGGGTGTAGAGATGACTGACTTGTGAAAAGGCTTTACCACATTGATTACATACATAGGGTTTCTCTCCAGTATGCGTTCTATAATGTTTTTGGAGTTTATTGACTTGTGAAAAAGCTTTACCACACTGATTACATTCATAGGGTTTCTCTCCAGTATGTATTCTTTTATGTGTGTAGAGATTACTGACTTGTGAAAAGGCTTTACCACATTGATTACATACATAGGGTTTCTCTCCGGAATGTGTTCTTTTATGTACTTCAAGCTGACCAGGAGTTGAAAAAGCTTTCCCACATTCATTACATTCATAGTGTTTCTCTACAGTATGTGTTCTTTTATGTTTTCGGAGACTATTGACATTTGCAAAGGCTTTACCACAATGATTACATTCATACGGGTTCACTCCAGTATGTGTTGTTTTATGGAGTCGGAGACAAATGTGACATGGAAAGACTTCACCATATTGAATAGTTTCATAAGGTTTCTCTCCAGTATGAATTGTTTCATGACTTTGAAGATGCCTGTAACACACAAAGGTTTTCACACATTGAGTATATTCAGAGGTTTTGTAACCTATATGGCTTCTTTCATTCCTGGAAAGATAACTGGCACATGTAAAAGCTTTACCACATGGATTATACTGAAGAATCTTATATGTCTACAAATTAATTTCATAATATGGACTAAGTATAAAGAGGAATCAGACCTTAAGTTTTACATTCATGATGCTTCATTTCATGAGGGATTGTTTTGTGACTTTGAAGATACCTGTGATAGTAAAACCCTTTATTTCATGGCCCACATTTATTACATCATTTGCTATGAGATTTTTCTCACATCAAAAGAACTGGGGGAAATAAGAGCTTTGCCATACTTATCGAATGCATAAGTTTTCCTATAGTGTGATTCATACTGCATTGGCAGAATGTACCAGAACAAATGGCAGTATTCCAATATTCATAGGACTTTTCTGCAATGTGACTTTGTTTATGTCTTTCAAATGATGTTGGAAAACTGACTAATTGTAAACTTGTATCACATTCAACAAATCTATTCAAAGTGAGAACTACAAAGAACTTTCATATCTTACAATTGTTCACAGAGAGAGGAAGAAAGATACATTGCTTCTTTCCTTATTTTATGCTCACTTGGCTTGTATTTGTAGTTACATGTGATACTCTTTTTTTCTTTTTCTTTTTTTTTTTGTGACAGTTTCCTCTGTGTTGCTTTGGATCCTGTCTGGAACTTACTCTGTAGACCAGGATGGCCTCCAACTCACAGAGATCCAACTGCCTATGCCCATGGAGTGCTGGGATTAAAGGCGTGCACTTCCACAACCCAGCTACACATGATATTCTTATTAAAGGAATAATAACAAATAAAGTTTCCACATTGCATTCACACAGTTTTCCTTTCTTTTCCTCACAGACATTAGGAATATGGATTAATGTTTCTCCACAACAACGATCTTGACTTTCATAAATTGACCCATTCAATATACTCAGCAAAGACACAAGTATGTGAGTAATGCCAGCTTTACTACGGACACTTTTATCGTAGAAAGTCTTGGACATATATGTATCACATTATATATACATATAAATGTGTATACTGTTTAAAATATCTGAGTGGTGTGAAACAAAAGGGCTTGGCATTTCTACAACATAGCTCTAATGGGGCTTTAATTTAAATGGTAGTATCTGTTAAGGCATTGTTTCCTTGTCTTGTTTTTCACAGGAACGCCTTGTAAACACAGAATAGCTACCTGAAACTAAGGTACATGATTTTGTGAAAAAATTAATGATGTTGAACAGAATGGTTTCCTTCCAGATGATGATTGCTGGGGTGCCCGAGGTCGTGGCCTGGGACCCCGGATACCTGAGTTTTCCTGGGGTCTAACATTTGGGGGCCTGTCCGTGATTTGCGACCACCCTCACCTGAGTGGATTGGATCTTGGAGATAAGATTATTCGAGCTCGCAAATTATATGTTCAATGTTCTATGTTTGCTTGTTATGTCTCTTGCTGTTTTGTTGTTTTGGTGCCACTTGAATTTGCTGTTTTGTTGGTTTGGTGACTTGAATTTGACCTGAGCCTGTGCAGGACTCTTGACTTTTATTTGTAATTTGTACTGGTATTTGGAATTTGTAATTTGGACCATAGGGAAAGCAGACGTGCCCAGAAAACAGGTGTGTCTGGAACCCTTGTTTCTGCCCTGGACGAAAGTCCAAGGGTTGTTTGTAATTTTGGTTTGGGGCACCATTTCTTTTCTGCGCGGTTTGTCCTGTCTGATGTCTGTCCTGTTTTTGCTGTTTGTGACTGTCTCCATACTAACCACTCTCATCCCCGGATTCCACCTCAACTGTGATTGGCAGATGTGTTCAAAGGATCTCAGACTGCTGCCCTGAGGACACCCAGGACCCAGGAGGTACGGACGGGGGCCAAGGACACTTGGACCCGCCTCAGTTAGCAGTTATTGTAGCTGCCGGGTTCTGCCGCCCGTCTTCCCGGCGCCATTGCCTTATAAGCGGCGCGGTCGGATTGGGTGGGCATCTGTTCTTTCTTGTCAATTCTGTGTTATCATCATTGGTTTTCAATTCAGGATCCAACACGCCACCCTCTTTCTATCCCCACCAGCAGGTCTCTGAGGCATGCCAAGTGGGGCTGTTTCTGCCCCAGCTGCCGTTCTGCCATGGGTCCTGGCTTGAGGCAGGGGTTTCCCTGCTCTGCGGAAACATGGCTGCAGGGGCGCCATCTGCCTAGCTGCCCAGCCTTCTCTGTGCTCCACACACATGGTATGCAGGGAAACCACGGGTATTTTTTTCTTTTTTTTTTCTTCCCCACCCCTGCATTGGCTGAGGGTCTGGGGTTACCAGCAGCACCCCCACCCCAGGTCTCTTCCCTGAGTATGTGGAGCTCGAGCGGGTGAACTATCTGGTCTGATTTAGATGTTAAAACAAACAAACAAACAAACAAACAAAAAAACAAAACGGCCTTAAAGTTATTGAAAACTATAAAAGGGACTTTGATAAAAATTTTTATGTTGACTGAAAAATGAGAAAAAATGTAGGAGACATGAATAATAAAGAGAGAAAGGGAAGGAGAAATTTGTCTAAGAATGTCTTAGAAAATCAGAGAAATGAACTAAAGATATATAAAAAATTATAGAGAGTTAAAGCAAGTTGTAAAAGGTCAGAAAAAAGTTGTTAAAAGAAAAAAATGTAAACTGCTGTGGTTTCTCATGTCTACAAATAATAAATTTAAAAATCGTAATATAAATGAAAATTTTAGCCATATTAAGCTAATTTTGTTTAAAAAGTCCTGTTTATTTCTCAAATAATTTATGTATACTTATTTTTAAATGTTCTGTTTCCTGGCATAACCTAAGTTCTGTTACAAGCATGTAGCTGAAACAAATGATGAGGGTCACCGCCATTTTGTAGCCAGCCATGTGGCACAAAATGAGTAGTAGCCATTTTGCTGAAGTTGAAAAAAAATACTTAAACCACCATCTTGACTAAAGATGACCAAATGGAAATTAGAAGTACCATCTTAGAAATAAGTTTTTCAGTTAAGATTTAAAATGTTAATGCTTCTATATATTACAGAAAGACATTAAGGGAATTTAAATTTCATTTTAAAACCAGTTTTTTTTTTTTAATGTTTGTACTTAAAGAGCTTCAATTTAGAATCATTTTTAGGCAAAGCCTGACAATGTAAAGTTCTTGTTTTATAAAAGCTGCTAATCTATTATAAGATGTTACAGTTTATGTTTTCAGAAGTTAAGTTTAGGGTGTTGGTGGCACACACCTTTAATCCCACCACTTGGAGGCAGAGGCGGGTGGATCTCTGTGAATCAGAGGCAGGCAGATCTCTGATTTAGAGGCCTGCCTGGTTTACAGAATTAGTTCCAGGACAGCCAGGACTGTTACACAGAGAGACCTTGTCTCACAAATAATTTTAAACAAACCAGCTAAAATGTGTACATGTAGCTACTATTTAAGGACTATAAGGTAACCCTATGCAGTCTTAAATTCAGCTGTGCTAAGTTTCAAATATTTTACTAAGTTAAAACCAGTTACAGTCAGGCTGAAAATTAATTACAGAAATAAGACCTTACCTAGCCACATTATGCTTCTTGTGTGCTGAAGGCAAGTAATTAAAACAGACAAAGGACCTCTAATGCTTCAGAGATCTTCAGAATATGGCATTTAAATTGTTATCTTTAAAGTTTATAATGTCAGACAGACTGCCAAATCCTGACAGTGACCCAAACTCTCCAAAGAAGATTGTGAGGCACCTCTGTTCCTGCACCTGGACCAGTGAGCGAGATGCTCAGATGTGATACCTGCCGCCTGCCAGGACCTGGCCGAGACTGTGGACAAATCTGCTGGACACTGGAAAATTGATTGCACCCCCTTTGCCTAGACAAAACAAGGTGAGTGTTTTTCATGCCCCTCTTCCACAGAGAGGAAAAAAAAACCTCTCACCTTATAGGCCTGGCAAAGATTGTCATTCTTTGAGACATCTGCCTCCAGTGGTAATGGAGAAACTTGGGTATGGCTAACTGTATATGGACTGGCTTCTGTCACTTTTTAATAGATTCAGATAGACTATACCCTTCTTAGATCTCTAAAGTATTAATGGTTGTCAGCTTGACAGCATCAGACAGTCAGATCCAATATAGACTATAGTCAGCATGTTAGCTAGTAAAATAATGACTATCTACTGTTCAGGCACAAGCTCAAGGCTTTTAAGTTTATTTTGGTTGTCATCTAAGTACAAACTTAAAGGGCTTTTCATTAGGCAAAAGGCACCTCTATACAATCCCTCTCTGGACAGAAGAAAAATGGACATGCTTATAGCCCAAATCTGTAGATTTTGCTAGGACTCAAAGTTATAAATATGTTCCAGCTGTTTGAACAGATATCCAGATATCTGCTTTTTCTGCATTGTGGGCTTCAATAAATAAGTTTTAACTTCTGTTCCTACATGTCTTAAACAGGTTTCTGCTTCTGGCAGACATCTGAGTATCAGTTGCTGACTACAGGCTGTTCTAAGACAGCAAACCATGGATTTGCTGTGTATGTGAACCAGTCCAGCTGATGTGGACACCCCTGTCTCAGCAACAGAGTCTGCCAAGAGCCCCTGATGGATTCCCCATTGCCTAAATTCCTTTTTTGCTTT